TCTCACATGACTGAGAAACAGGAATAATGGGGGGGGTGGTTGTTGTTTTCTTTGTTGGGGTTTTTTGTGGAAACCCTTTTTTTCCTCCCCAAGCAGTGGAGCAGGGGGAGGAAGGCTGAATCCTTAGCTTACTAATGTCCCCATCAACAGATTCCACCTAATCCTTTCACATGCCTAAACACTTTTGATGCTGGCACTGGCCCGTGAAAACATAACTATAATTTGTTCCAATTGCCATGAAATCCAAATCCCAGCTTACAGGGTACCTATGTCTTCAGATACATCAGTATAGCTGTAGGCTTCCTCTCTGCCGCATCAAACCTCTCCCAAAAGATCAGCCTCAAGGTATTCACACAGTAACTGAGACGCTTGCTCTGGGACACAAAAAGGAGTTCCTGAGTCTTGCATAATTTCCTAAGGCTTTTGTAAATACAAACTATAATACCCACAGAGCCCTTTATCACCTTGAATAAACAAGTAATATTCAATGCATACCAGAGTATAGGTGAGGGCTAGATAGGGTAAATATACACCTGTGTAAAGAAGTTGAGACCTGTCTACCTGCCAAGTTCATCTGGTCATAAGACCTGTGTTGGATTACAGGTGAATTCTCATTTCTGAGAGCATAAAGAAATCATTAGTAATTCCAAAATCCATCAGTAGTCCATTGTCACGTTACCCTGCAGCTCCCACTCATTTTTTAAAACTATCTTCTACCTCATACAACATATTTCTCACATAAACCTTTCTTGGTCAAGTTTTTCAATGGAATAGGTTAATATGCAAATATATGCAACACTTCTGCCATGACAGGCTTGGTTTAGAAAATTAACCTCTCAGATCAACTTGACGTATGGATGACCTGCAAAACCTGATACGAAACAGAGAGAAAATAGGAACCTCAGCTAATAGAGCCACACAGAGTGACCAAGCACAGCTGAGAGAGAGGTCTGTTTTTTTCCCAGGCACAGTAAAGTGAAGTTTTTGAGACTGGATGTTTTTTAATCCTCCTTCTCCTCCCACTCTCTGTTAGAAAAGGAGGAGACTCTTTACCCAGCTTTTTTGTTGCTTTTTTTTTGTTTTGGTTTTGTTGTGATACTTTTTTTGTTGGTTTTTGTTTGATCGGTTTTGCTCTGGTTTTGTGGTTTTTGCTGTTGGGTGGTGGCTTTTTGTTCAGGGTTTTTTGGGTTTTTAGTTCTTGTTGTCAGGGGTTTTTGTACAAATAGGACAGGCTGGCTATATATCCACAAAAGACAAACAGAAAATCATCTTGTGGCAGAGGTTGATTTCTTAGGGTTCAGACATACCAGCACAGCTCCCACTGGCAACATCAGGTGAGAGCAGACACTTATATCTCCTAGATATAATATCCCTGTCATTGTGACATGCAGAAGTGCTGCTAAGTCTTCAATAAAGGGCTAGGCCTTGCTGTGAATGATGCCAGAGCAAAGTAAGTATTACAAAAAGCTTTATCAAGACCACACTCATTTAGCTTCTCAAAAGTTTTTGAGATCCTTTTATTTTTCATCTCCTATTTCCGCAGTAACCTGGAAGACTAGTTCTAAAGCAGGTAATGCCATCAAATAGCATTAACTCCTGCTGTGCTGAGGACCACCATGGCAGATAATCTCATTCGGACAGTGCTGTCACATGTGTACAGAGATTTTTGAGGTAGACCACCAAGCCTTACACAGCCTTATCTGGATGAACTGAGAAAAGTTAGTTGCACATTGACCAGTCTTTTGTAAGGAATCCCAAGGATTTAACTAAATTGCTCATTGGCTCTGAGAGACCCAAGTTGCTATTGTCACATGGTGCCATTCAAAGGAGGATGAGAAGTCATATGATGACTCCCTGATGTGTCTCATTTTTATTAGTCCTACTTGTGTGACTTGGAAGCAATCCATGGCTTGCACTGCTTTTATCTCAAAAGGAGGAGCAGGTTCTAGATGTCACATACTGAACAGAGAAGCACAGAAATCATGCGAGTGTCTCACTAAGCACAGACAGGATCCTGCAATGTAAGCATTGCTTGCCAGCAGTTTTAGCTTTCCAAAGAGGCAATGTTTTCTTTGGGTAGGCTGGTCTACTCAGCAACCAGCGTACATGGTCTTAGGGTCCAAGTGCAACCCCTAAAAACATATCAAATTGTCTATAGCCGTAGTTATACTATAGGTGGCACTGTCAAGATTCAAAAACAAACAAAAAAATACAACCAAACAAACAAAAAAACAAAACAAAAAAAAAACATGATTTCATAAGGGAATACTTTCTCTGTGTTGATTCATTAGATACACAAGAGTAAAAAACAAAAATGTCTTTTGTGTGCATTTATGATTGCAGCCAACAGATTTATGTTCTGAATCACTATTTGAAATGCATTCCCACATTGAAGCGTATTAAGAAAACATTATGGGGTCTCCTGTAAACCAGCAAACTGCAGAGTTGAGGCTGAAATTGCACATTTGATATACTTCATTATATCCAGGTATGTACTGAATAGCTTGCAATAATACTCACTGTTCCAAAAACTTTTGATACATAACCAGAGGCTGTTTTGGGGGCCTAGAAATTGTACCACTGCAGGAGGCCTGGGAACTTGGGAACTGAGACCAGCTGTCTTCAGTTTGATGGCATGCTTGCTATTTCTTTTTTATTTTAATTTTAAAGGCTGGCCCATAATTTATCTGCCCTCATTTTTCAGAGCCCCACATGTAACCCACTAGGCAGAGCTCTAAAACCTTACTAGTGCTTTCTGAATACAACCACTGCTTAACACAGCTATGGTGGCTCCTGGCTGTTGTTTCAACATCCCCTGCAACAGCAGTATAAGGATACATAGCACAAGAGCAGAGAGGGGGAATCAAACTAGTTCCAACATAGAAACCCATGCCTCAGAGCATCAGAAAAAGGAAACAAAGAAAAAAATCACAGCCAAAACAGGTTTTGTTTAGTAAATCCAAGGAGTTCTAAAAAAATGAAAAAAAAAAAAAAAAAAAAAAATCACTTTAAGCATATGAATCTATTCTACCTTTTTCCGGTTTCTCAGATTTGAGTTTCATCCAAGGAGGGGAATCTCTAGCAGAAGCTTCCAGGAGTTCTCAGACTGCATGGGATCCAGTTTCAGGTGCTAAGTGAATGTTACTGCCCTGTGTCCACAAGACTGAGGAGCCTATTACTGATCTCAACTCCTTCCAGGGCCCTCCTTAGGCCCTCTACAGTAACAGAAAAGCACATTTCATTTCCTACCCACAGATCTACGCAGCAGCCCGTCAGCACTGTGAGGGGACTGGAATCAATCTGTCAAGAGGTCTCAGCCAGTCCAAAGTGCTGGGGTCTGCACTGCTGCCTTTACATAAAGCCAGAAATATCTGTTGGTATAAATTTGTCATCCCTTTTCTGTCTGAAAGGATTCTGCATAACTCAGTAGTGCCCCCGTCTGTAAAATGAAGACATTACATTTCCTTTATAGGATGCTCTGAAAAATACAGCGCCAAAGAGAATTGCAAGAGTAAGGTGTTACAGTTAGGAACTGCACTTTTTTTTTTTTTTTTTTAACATTATGGTAAATATGTGGAATACATCACAGAGTGCTTCCATTTCAAGGCTAAACCATCACAGCACTCTTCCACCCTAACTCATTGCTGCCATACACTTTGTGTGCTATTTCTCCTGTAGAAATCCCTAAATATCCCAAGAAGCACAGTTCACAGGATATTTGTCAGGCAGCTGAAACTACAAGGCATTTGAAGCTTCATGAGAAAGCTCACTCACATATGTTGTGGAACCACACTTTAGGCAGCATTTCCTCTGCAAATTCTAGAGATTAATTAGCTAGCCATAAAAGAACAAATATAGACCCTAGAATTATAGGAGGGAGGGGAGTTATGCTTTTAGTTCAACTAGCAGAGTTGAAGAAAAGGAAAAAAATCATTAGGGTATGCCTGATCAACTTCCTAAGTGAGCAGAACCAGGAAAAAGATCACTATCACTTTTGACTTCCAGAATGCCCAGCACTGCCTTTGCAGTCACTTGTATTATTTTTCTTTAACATGAGAGGCAATCTAACACAAAAATCCAGGCTCCTGGATTCTTGCTCCCATAAAGGCAGCAAGAAACAGCGCTATTCTATCTAAACACAGCACTAAGACCAGGGTGACCATTCTGGGCTCATTTTCAGTTGTGTCATGAAGTGTAAATGAAAGCAGATTGAACTTGAATTGTGAAACTCAGAACTTCCCTCCTTGGATAGCAGGCAGGCACAAACTCTTCTTTGTGTAAAACTAAATTTATTAAAAAGCCAAGGATATAGTACCATTCTCCCTTTAAATTGAAGGATATTGATGTAGCTATATCTACAAGCAGTAATTTAAACTTCAGCAACACTCCCCTGAGCACACCTACATGAGCGTGGGGGAGCGACAGACAAAGCAGGAGAGATTCCTGCGTCGTCTCTGCCAGAATCACCCTGGTCAGGCAAAGCACCAGCAAGCGGCACACACAGACAGCATTGCCAGCGTGTACCAGCTGGCCGAGTCAGGAGGCACATGGCCGTATTCATGACACTGTGCTACACACAACGCACCAAGCACCCCACCAAAACTCAGCGGGGAACCTCCAATAGCACCAGTGTTCATGAGTGTCAAACAGATTCTCCCAACAACCAGGCTGCATCTTCCTTTGTTTAAAGCACACATGGGAATGAATTTTTCAAGGCAGTTATCTCCAACTTCTTACAAACTCAAAATCTACTTCACTAGGTGTTTTCCCTCTTGTATCCTTCAGCTCATCACTTACCTTTGTAGACTTCTGGGCAGAGTTTTCATATGCTTTGCTTATTTAAAAACATCATCAACAAATTTCTAGGTTTCAAGAAATCTCTCCTAACTCAAATAATCTTTTTCAAGTGTTCCACCTAAAGTTTTCCTGTGAAATACCTTGTTTTCCTGTTCAGATTAATTTTAAGATGCCAAGATGATTGTGATGTCACAGGTACTCACAGAAATTTTTCCAGTACGATTGGCTTCCTCTCTTTCTGCCAGAGCCCGCAAAAAGTTATTTTTCAGTTCTTTTCCTACACTTGCTAGTGACCTAGGAAAAAAAAGTTATAATTATTACTCTTAATTATTGCCACAGACACTGGATTCACTGTTGGATTAAGTGTTCTGTAAATATAAGGAGACAGTCATCACCCTACCGTAGCTAATTTGTCTATTGCCTGTTCCACTTTTACAAACCTTTAAGCCAGTCTTCAAAATTCATCACTACTGCAGACATACAATATGATAGTAGTTTATCAAAAGGTGACTTCTAATAGCACACATTTTCAATCATATATCTGGAGTAAGCTAAGCGTTTATTTTATATCTCTAGAATTATGGCCAAAGTCATGTTTAACATGATTAGTCTTTGGAATACCAAATTTTCAGTGTACCAATATAAACTTAAGCAGATTTAATACTTTATTCTTCAGCCAGCAACTAATCAAATGAACTACTACATACTTAGACTGCTTGATGCAGAAGTGTCAATATAATTTCTGTATCCTTGAGTACAAAGCAGGAAAAGATAAACCAATTTTTCTCCACAAAAACTGGCCAAAAAAAAAAAAAATCACAATGAAGGATACTATACACTAAAAATTACTTCTTAGTCTTTGAACATAATACATTCAAATTCAAACAGTCATTAAAAATAGAAAACACACATCTGATGGACAAAAGCACTGAATATGGGACAAACTCTTCAACGGAAATGTGATTCTACAGAACGGTTTCTGCAAGTCTCTTTAGACTAATCTAAAGCCCTTCTCCATCAGCAGGGGTCATTGCACTCACTCCAGTGTACTTTGCACACACAAGAAGGAACAAGAGACTTCCTAAATCCTGCACTAAAGTGGCTTCACTGGGAACTTTTCTTCTTTTAATGCCTCAAGTAGTGAATGCTGACTGGAAAGCGCTCTCTCAGGCAACCCAAGGCAAACTAGTGCCTCCGAGCTGAGCACAGATCTACCTGAAAGGGGAAGGATTATTACGTCCCCCCACTATCTCAATGTGATTATTTCATTAAAAAGCAGTAGCATTTGTCAATCTAAGTAAACAGAATACAGCATCAATAAAGATCTATCAAGTGTATAACATTTCAAATAAAAGAGTGACACAAAAACTGAAAAAATCCCTTTGGGAAGTTTTTAAATATAGACATGCATGGTAATGTCCTTAAACTGAGTGAAAAGCTTGCATCTAAGCTTCAAAACTCTGCTGTAGAGCTATCAGGTCAATCTCTGGCCGCTTTACCAGAGGTTATCCAGAAGTACATTAGATTGAAGCTGTTTCAGAAGTACATCTGCAGCACTGTAAAAATATAAAATGAAAGACTAACATATGGACTAAAACACCTCAATTAATTAGATGTAAAAGATGGATAAGACATGGAGAATCAAATTTTCCTTTTCACATCCAGTTAAGAATTCTAGATTCCCAGAGTCTTCCTTTCTCCAGCAGAGGTTAATAGTAAATCAGCAGTAAATCCATGTTTAACAAGTATTCTAGCCACCTTCGCTTGAAGTTTGTGGCTCCTATTTTGAACCAGATGAAGGGTGTGGGTGTCTGAAAGATTGTGTGTTTTTATCCACCTAAATCTTATGCTGCAGTAAGAGACTTCATTTTTCCTTAAAAACTTTGTCTTCCTCTCATTCATCAATCACCAGCAAAATAATCACTGACCCACTTGCAGAACACTAAGATGTATAAAACTTCTTTTTTTACTAAATATCATTACTTTTGCATTAGAACACACTGAGACATACCTGAAATCAAGCTGCACTGTTTCTGAAAAATATTAGGTATCATTGGGTGGTCCTGTCTAGGTCAAAAATCACAGTGTGTTAAAACACAGAGCTAAAATATTACAGGTGCAAGGCAGCAGCTTTTTGCAATTCTCAAGATAATTCCAAAAGGACATTATCATGCCTTACTTACTGTGTTGACTACTTGGGGTCTACTTCAGCAAGTCTAACTTCTGAAAGATGCAAGATGAGAAAATGCATCATCTGATATGTATGCATACTCTATTCTCAGTGACAAAGGCCCCTTGCTCTGTAGAAGATGTTTCAACATCAATAAATTGAAAAAAAAAAAAAAAGTCAGGATTTGATTAAAATAAACTAATTCTCCTATGGCCTGTGAGAAAAACCATCAACAACAACATTATGGCTGAATAAAACATTAGGAATGCAACACATCATGCTTGAACTGACACAGGAACAAGATCACTTGGAGCAGAGCTTAGTATTAACTGGCTGCTTTTTTGTAAAAAAGACAGGGGTGGGACAAAGATCCACAAAAAAACAGTCAAGCAAAATTATTGTTGAGTCATATCTGAGAAACATATGAAATATTTGTTCTTTCAGAGAAACATTTTTTGAAATATATCAACATGATTTTACCCTTATAACAATATCCCTAATGGTCTAAAAGTATTAAAAATTTCATGGGACCAGTGAGTGCAGAAATAAAACATGAGGTGTCCTCTATGACACACTCTTAACCTCTTAGAATTCTCCTGTTTAAAATACATATTATTACTATATATACTATTATTGGATAAAGAGTGACACAGAAGGTATTGCTGTCAAATTTTAATCACAAAGGAAACAGAAATAGGCTCAGGGTATTCTAAGGTAAACCTTTATAAAGTTAGAAAACTGCTGTTACAGAAAGAACGAGGACCTTAACGCTTAAGGTCTGAATTCTAAAACTCCAGAATCTGGAAGCATCCCCCAGCATCTAAGCAACTATTTCCTGAGGAAGGGACAAAGAGCTACTTGGTAGACATTCCACTTATTTTAACTGGCAAGGATTTACTCCTTCATTTTCTGCAAGAATGTGTATGTTATTTCTTTGAGTCTTGGCCTTTTTCACTTCTTTGCCCCTTGGGATGTACATCCTCCGCCACCCTATCCCAGCTCAGACATCTGTCTTTCCTCTCAGGCCTTGCCCAAGCAGGAAAAGTGCACCCATTTACCTTAAGGGAGATTTTCTACTAAGGTAGTTAAAACAGTGCAAAAGGTCACATGAATATCCTTAAGACTGGGTTAAACCAGGCTCAGTTAACTATCAAATGTAATCAATTAGTAATTGACCTAGCTTAAACTGTACATAAAGAATTGCAAGCTTCTGCAGACATAAGTGTGCACCAAACTGGTTTTAAAAAATTCCAGTCATACACAGTTCTCATCTGACTAAGGCCACATATCCACTGGAAAGATGCAGCATTTACGGGAACACTGTATGAGCATTTGTTACTAGCCAGTCCTTGAGGAAGAAATGAGATTTTTCTCTCCCTGCCACAACAGCATGTACAGTCTCCGCACTCTAGTTTACCAACACTGCATAAAACCAAGAAGAAAAAGATCAAGGCATTCCACACTGCTGAACTTCCCCCCCCCACATAAACAGGCTGAAATTTTGGGGTGTGACTAGTTAGGAATTCGTGAAGGCCAGGTAAATGTTTGTTCCAGCTTCCTGCCAGGTGGGATGAGGGAGTTGTTTAAGTAGGGAGGAGTGGCAAGGAATTCTCTAGCACCCAACGAACACTACTGTTTATTGAGGGTTACTTAACTTGCCGTGACCTAAAAACTGCTGTTTAAATGAAGTTTTAAAATATAAATTTACTTCCTAAAATCTGTATTAGGTCCTGAACAAAGCTAGAGGATTACAGATTATATATTAGTATAGAAAACATGCTTGCAGGTTACAAGAGCCCTTAAAAAGGGAAAGCATAGAATATTTCATTATTAGCATAAGTTTATGCATCTCCAGCATCACACATGCAACTGTAACATCTGTGCCCTGCCCAGAACTACTCCTACCATTCAAGTTCATGCCTCAGCATACTTCCTGAAGGATGCTTTACAGTGAAAGCACGATTTACAAGGCAGCATTATCTCTTTACAAGGCACTCTGATGCTAACTACATTCACCTGTAATCATCACTGCACACTTCTGACTGATATTTTTAATTATCATCTGCACCACATGGGTAGAGGCCCACACAGAGAGCAGCATGTTGCTGTGCTATGTGCTGTAGAACACTCCTGTCTGGTGAGCTTTGAAACCAAACACGCAGAAAAGCCTGGTGGAAAAAGTAAAATACAGGAGACCATTATTATTCTCATTTTGCAAATGCGAATCTGAGACATGCAAAGATTAAGTAACTTATCCAAAGATAACACGGAATGTTTGTTCAAACATGTTATTATTGTCACCAACCTGGTAGCAAATGCTCCACAAGTAGGTGTGTTGAATATTAATTTCTATATTAACTTCACCCTTTCTGAAGCTATGCTTTTCCCACACATACAGAAGAAGCATTAACGAGTAACACTCCTCACTACAGTATCCTTCAATGGAAGCAATACTGAAAAGAAGTATTACATTTTAGGAAAAAAATAAGGGATACTTTTCTAAAGGAAGTTGTTTGGGTACATAAAGTCGTAGTGATGTTAACACTATTAACTGGTGTTTGCTGGTTTTAATTCCATAAATACAATTCTTGTTTTATGATGCTCAAAGTTTCACTTACGAAACTGTACATTTCCTTCCAAGCTGCTCTTCTCCTTCCAAAAGCTCCTGGTATCTTCCACCATCCCATACGTCCTTCTCATATTCCCAGTTCAGACACCTTTTGCTTGCAGCATGCATTTTTGGTCTTCACTGATAGGTGTTAGTGAAGCAGAAAGAAGGAAAGCTCTTCTTAAACTTCAGTTTGGGCTCCTTGATTCTTATTTTGACAGGCTACACTGCTTTTTTTTTTTTTTTTCCATTTTGTTATGTTTCCCTAGGGCTTAATTTACTTTATTTTCCTACCTCTTCTACCATGTGGGCTTTTCCTGAGAGCAGTGGAGTCACAGTTGGAAACAGAACAATGTAGTTTAACTTTCAGAGAGCCCTGTTGACCTGGAGAATGCTTTTTATCAAACTGAGATAATGGGAAGAACATCTAACAATGACATTGTTATTCTTTCAAAAGTATGCTCCATGTTCCAGTTCAGCAGAAAGCCAGACTGGAATGCACATTCTCGCCTAACT